CTGGAGCTACTGAGCAGAGCAGCCAGAAAGCACAAGTCAGACTTGTCAGAAGCAATGCATTGTAAATGTGCATCAGTAATCAGAAAGTTTATTGCATATCACTTAAATCAAATTTTCTTGTGCCGTGAGGCATATGACAATCAGGACAGAGATAACTTTACAGAAAACAGCATGCATGCTCAGTGCCTGTCTTTCAGGGAATTAGCTGCAGACAATACAAAGCCCAACCATCAATCTGCCAAACGACACTCTGTATGTACGATCAGGACTCTCTTGTGTTTACTTCCCAAAATAGCTTTGCTAAAGATAATCATGTCCCACATTTCTGTCTGCAAATCACTTTCATGGCACACAAAGCAGCATCAGATAGCACGAATGAGCAATCAAATGGCAACTGAAATTATGTGGGAAACAGGTACGATATCTGACAGGACGATGTTCCATTTTCAATTTAGAGCCACAACAAATTTTCAGCAAAACAAAGGAAACAATGTATTAGAGCTTTTTAGAAGGGTTTTTGCTACATATTAAACTGTGATCCATGAAATCCAAGCTTTACAGTTTGCAAATGCTGAGCTTTTAACACAAACCTATCAATTGCTGTCCACGTAGTTTTCAGAAGTATTTATTCATATTGTTTCTCTGAGTAAATAATCCTTGGCACCCTGGTATTACCTGCAGGCTTAAAGGAACAATCACCAGTGAGGCCAGAGCTGATTACTGTAATAATAGTTTTCTAGCCTGCTGAAATCAGGGAATTAGATGCCCATCATTTTACAGAACGCTAACTTTATGTGAGCGGAACATGACCCCTTGTCCTCAGCTCACATTGCACAAAACACCCACCCCCTCTTTTTTTTTTTTCTTCTTCATAGATTAGCTTAAACAAAAAATAAATTACTCAGTTAAGCTTTGGACCTGATCTTCCCATGAACCAGTTTCAATGCAGATTTGTGGTATGTCTGCACAGACTGGAACGCAGTGCAAGAGAAAGCTATTAACTCACAAAAACTGAGGACAGCACCATCACAAACTGGCCCTCTCCCACAGCTTTCCACCTCCAACGCAGAGTTGAGCACGTGCCTCTACTGTTGCAGAGTCCAATAAGAATAATACACAACTTTTTGCAAAAAGAGAAGCCGGAGGAGAGGCACAACTTGCCCCATGCTTAATTCAGGAGCAAAAAACACCAACAAAAGTTTGGGCAGACAGCAGTAACAAATAACTTTTTAACCCTCTAGTGCAGGTGTGAATTTCAAAGATAATAAGCTACAAGTTTGTACTTGGGCAGTTACCTGGGACCAGACTGATACAGCCACAACTGGAATGCTCCCTGCACCCACGTTAGCCTGCTATCAGCTCATGCACGCCTCCGTTTTGTGCTGTCACTACTCTGATGACGGTGCCTTTAGGTCCTACACCTGACAGATGACTGTCAAACTCTGCTGCATTTTGGATCAGCTGGGCCATGCAGAGAAATGCTGATTTTTTTTCCCAGAATTATGTATTCTTCATTAGAAACACTTAACAGCTGAAAAAAATGAACAAATTCTTTTTTCCTCCTCTGTTTTCTGCTGAACTAAATAGTTATTTTTGATGTGTGGTCATGGTTTCAGGTATTTATAATTTATGTGTTAAATAATATCCCCAGGAACTAATGAGATCTTTAAACTATTTTCTCTGGTTGAAGCTCACCTTCTGCTACTCCCTAAAATAACTACTGCTTTTTTTCATATGTATTTTCTGCAATCAGCAAAAACTGTCAAAGCTGCATTCGATATTCCAGCTTCTGGAGCAATTTCAGGGTCATTGGGCTCCACACATAGATGTGAAAGACACTTACCTCTGCCAAGCTTAGAGCAGTATCTGCTGACAAGGATTTGTTGGGCAAGCTGAAGAACACATTCTCCAGGTAGCCCAGCATGGTGTCGGGGGAGCGAAAGCTCCCTCTCTCCTCGGTCAGATTAGTTATGATGGGATGATAGACGTTTGTAGAGAGCTGCAGAGAGAGATACAACTCATCAGAAATTATTCTGTATGGCAGTCATTAATTATTGTTTTAGCCCAAAATTTTGGGAGTTTGAGGCATAGTAGACTCCTGTGGTTACACACAGGAGGCTACATAAGCTAAGGGAAAAGGAAAACACACGGATAGATGTATACATATAGTTTAACAAATATATATATAAAAAACCCAAATAGTTTATACAGGCACAGCTTCATTTTTTCATTAGTAATTCAGGTCTTATCTGCCATGGTTTCCTGAAAGCCTCTGTGAACAAGAAGAAAACTAATAGAACTTTGACAATGCAGACAGCGAGAAAGTGAAAACACACTGCAACAGGTAATGGCACATAGGCTGATTACAGCTAATTGTATGTAGTCTTCATACGAAAAATTAATTTTATTTTAATCTTTTTCACTACATATTTACTAAACAGGTGGAAACTAATTTTGTTATTGTGGTGAGAATTTTTTTCCTAATTTTAAAGGAAATAAAAAGAAAAATCAGAATAATGTTTTTGAATGTCCTGTTACCTTCAAGTTCATTGAAATATTTCAGAAGTTTCTTTTTTTCCTTTTTTTTTAACATTGAAAATATTTTTATTTAACAATGAATTCCCTTTATCTGTCCTACATTAAGAGCTCTGTAGCACTCCCATCTTCCCACAGTGGCTAAAAATTCTCCCTGTGCATATCTGAGTGTGTTTATAATCAGGGTAGTAAAACAAGTGCCATTAATAAAAACTGTAAAGAGAGGAAGGTCTGTAACTCTGTGATATATACACATTCTGACATTACAGAAAAGAGTTATGAGGACTATCCTACCACAGGTTTTGTAGTAGTTGTCACCACAGATGATGGAAGTGTTGAAGAAAGTGAAACTTGTGCACCTGGGGAAAATACATACACAAATGACAGTGTTAACAAATCGGATACTCCCACTGCAGGTTGAATCTGTTCCAACTGAAAGTAACATATTTACTGTTGTGTGCATTTGACTTCTTTGCAGAACCATAGCTACATGGGCTTGTTTAAAGCATTTCATTTACTGATTCTCTCATCAATTTTATTTCTTTATGTAGATGAGCCTTGCAATTTAGTCTAAGTCTTAAACACTTAAACCTTTGTTTGCAAACAGGATATTTCAAGTGTTTTATCTCAATTAAAAAAGGACAACTTTATAATTAAAACATTGCATCCATCTTCCTTCTCTAGCTCTTCCTCCAACATTTATGCAAAGTATTTAGGGATTTTTTTTTTTAATCTTTTGTTTTATCAGAAATAAATAACAATCTTTAGGCACTTCTGACAATTTCATATACAGCCTTGGTGTATTTCTGTATATGTGACAAACTAGGACTGGGAACACACAGACACTGAAAAAATGAGACTCAAGTCTCAGCTATGATCTCCAAATGCTAATGTTTACTTGTATCTTGAGTCTAAATTGCTTGAGTGCCAAATGAAATCACATCCATGAAGGTAAGTTCAGAAAGACTTATCCACATTAAAAAAAAATCTTTAAGAAACATTCAAAGGAAATAGAAATACTTCCATTGTTTGCAGCAAGACTAAGGCACTCTCAAATAAAAGAACATTGTTAGAAATGGTGGTATACTGAAGCTTTTGGGGCATGCCAGTTTTGCATAAAACAAACAGAGGTCAAGAAGTCAAAGCAGCACCTTCATTAGCAGTTTGAGTACATTATAGATAATGTCTCAATTAAGTGTTTGCAAGTTGGTTTCAAGAAACAGTGAGGTTGCTATTAATCAGACAAGCTTTACTAATAAATGTCACCTACTTAGCACTATATCCATTGAAAATTACCATATGAGCATGTCATAAATGATCTGTGGAGAGAGAAAGAATAAACTCAATTTTGGATGGTTTCCAGTTGCTCCATTTTAAGAATATTGATTCCTTTCTGTGCAAAGGGATTTATTGGTCATTTGTGATAGAGAAATAAAATTTTCTTCTAATCTATGTCATACCAAGAATTTATATTTGCCAGGAGTGTGGTATTTCAGCACAATCAAAGAGTAGTTGCATATATAGGACACATTTTTTCCTCATGGATCCAAAAGGAGTATGGTTACTCATTCTATTAAAAACCAGGCTGTCCTATTAAGTTTCTTATGTCAAACCACATTAGCCTGGCTTCAACCCTCCTTTAAGTCCTCCACAGTCAATAAATAGATACCAAGAATAACTGTTGTTTACTATGTTGATTAGTATTGTAATATCCATTGCTTCCTCTGAGAATGTTCTAACTACATCCATCAAACTGGAAATCTTATAAAAATCCAATCAGTCTACTACTTTGAAGGAAAAAGCAAAAAATTCAATACATTTCTCAAGTGCTTCAAATCACCTGAGTACTTTAAAATAATATTAGCTGCGAAATTCTTCACACTTACAAAAAATATATGTATTCCTGGCATCCCTTTACATTTTAATTCCTAAGCCCCTTGAAAATACACATCAAGTTTCACTTTCAATTAAGAGGCTAGGAATTTATTTTTCACAGAAAATTGATAGCTCCAGATCAGCGAACACCTAATGTCATGCAAATTGCAGTAAACTCACAAGATCTCACAGCATGAACATCTCAGTGTATAAATCGGGGAGTTTGCTATACAGTCTTCTAAAAATCAGCAGGGATTGAAAGGTAAGATATAGGCAAAATTCTGTACAGCTCTAAAAATGACTCTAGCGGAATCCAAGGGCCCAACTCCTTCTGCAGCATTTCAAAAGCAAGCTATAAGCATTAATGTCCAGCAACCAGATATTTTCAAAACAAAAGTATAGAGGAAAGAAGTAGAAACTTAAGTCCTGAACAGTATTTGCATTCATGGAAAGAGCTTTCCATGATGCCTTGATTATTTGTTAGACTGAAGATGGGAGGGTGGAGGGTGCCAGAGGAGGTTGCTGTGAGTTCATAAGAATTCACGGGGTTAAAAAAAAAAAAAAAAAAAAGAGTTCTCTGTGTATTTATATAAGTCATACTTCTCTGACAGTGAGACAGGGCACACATATAGATGAATCAGGTCAATTTGAAAACTACTGCTCTTGAGTTTAACAATATAACATTCTTCTTGAGTTACACTAAATCAAAGAACGTGATTTATGGTAGCTTTGAGTGGATAGTGTTATAGTAACCCTAGATTGTTGTGAAAGATACAACAGTCAAATACAAAAGCATTTTTTCCAACTTGACCAGAACATTTAAAATATTTTAAAAAAAAAGTTTTACACTTTATAAACTATTTCCTGTATCAAATGAATACTCTCCCAACCAGAATTTTTGAAGACTTTCATAGGAATCACTTCCTAAAATAAAAAGGTTTTAAAATAAAGAACTTGAGTACAGTTGCTATTATTTGTGTGGCAAAGCAAATAGACTGCTTGATTATATATCAGATGAAGGACTTTTCAGTGACTTGAATTCTACATAAACTAGTTTATATTTTTTTTTATAAAATATATTTTGTATTTATTTGATTGCTATAATTAAACCTGGAAGTCACAAACACATGCATTCTCATTTCCAGGCATGCATTAGAAGCTCTGTGTTATTCAGAGAATTTCCATTGTGAAAATTGTTCCCATGGGTTTAAAAAGCACAAGAGTTACGGGTGTAACTGCTTTAGGTCTCAGTAACCCAGCAAGAATAAATGAAAGCAGGGACACTGACAGCAAAGCCAAATGTTCCAGATGCCTCATAGCTTTATTCCCGAGACGGATGTTTTCTAATTGCTACTCACACATATGCACTTAATAGCAACAGCCTTTCTTGTAGTCAAAAGTTGATTATGAAAAACCATAGAACAACATACAGGGTTTACCGGCCAGTCTTCTAAGTCTTTGTTCTAATCCTGATTCTTTGCCTTTTCTATTACATTTCAGCTGATATCTGTCTTTTTAGTTCACAAGCATAAATGAGTTAATAAATCCTTATCCTTCCAGGAACTAGAGAGATAACCATTATTATCCACATCTGCTGGAATACACTGATTGACTTGGCTCTAAGTAACATAACAACCAGTGTGCAAGTTAGAAATCCGGAGGCAGTCTTTCCCAATACTGTTCTGCCTCAAGTCTAATTATTCTTCTTCTCTTGATCCTAGGGGACCTAACGATGGCTGGATACTGCACATCTTGATGATTTTTTATGACATTTTTAAGGAGGTAAAACCCAGGATAAAGAGACTGCACATCCAAAGATAGGTGAGCGCTTTGGTGACATTCATACCTGACTTTCTACCTCTAAAAATTACGGTCAATAGCTGAAAGATGTAAAATGAACACAAATCTTACACACAAAGTATTTTTAAGTCAGCTTTAACTCACCAATAGCAGCTGTAAAGTACTGCTCAATTTCATTGGGGGTGAGTGCCCTTTCCCATATAATGAACTCATCAAATGCCCCATTCACATAGCGCTTAGTTTGATCCCCCTCTGTCCCAGTCAGTAGATTTGCACTGGGGTCTCCATAATCATAGAAAACTTTCCCATCTGGATCAGTTGTGTTTAGAGTTCCATTGACGTAGACTTTCAGTCCTTCTCTTGATTTCCAAGTAAAGAGAATATGAGTCCAATAAGGACCTGCAAAACATTAAAAGTCACAGCAAAATACATGAATCAATTCCATTTAGAGTCTTTCCTGTTCAGTAAGTTTTTGCTGACTTGTGCAGTGCTACAGAGCTGTATTGGAAGTGCTAAGAGTGAATTATGGAATGCTGATGTCATGTATATTAATCATTATACCCATGGGGAAGCCCATACTTTGGCAGAATGCCTGTTAGCTTTTGTCTGAACTCTTACTTGGGCTCACTGCAGTTTCATAAATTACACTTGCTAAGTATTATTGGCCAAGATTTAAAGGTTCTTCAATACTGTCTCAAAACTCAGTTCAGCAAGAACTGCATAAAGACTGCAAGAACTGAAGAACAAGCAAATAGACCAATTAAAAGTTCCCACAGTTTCTTTGTTATACTTGGGAGGCTGAAAACTTAATATGAATTTTCAACTTGGATTGGATAATGCACAAACGTGCCAATTATTCTTACCATTTAGCAGCTTTTCTCTTAAAATAAGATTTCTAAACTGACATATTAAGCTTTATAAAACTCTGCTACTAAGGGGTTATAAAGTTCTATTTTACCAATGTACAGGTAGTCAAAGTAAGGCAAGAAAAGATTTAGTGACTAGCATTGGCATTACTAGAAGACTAAAATTTGTTCCAGACGCTGGGTTATACCACTCCCCAACAATACACAGTTTAGATAGAAGTGGTAAGATATGTGATATACCAAAATGTTTATTAATACTGTGCCATGGCATGCAAAACTTTACACTCAACAGATAACAAAATGACCAAAGCAGCAAACACTCAGTTAGATAGTTACCAAACAAAGTCTTAATTTAGGAGGCAGTAGAAGACAGCCCACATAGCCAGTTTTAGAATATACTGAGAACCATCAGGGACTAACCTGCATTCTTCACTCATGTTTCCATCTAAGCACTCATTAATCTATTGATGTCAATAAGAATTTCACTTTGGAAACATCTGCAAGTTGGATTAGAGGACGGTAACTGAATGTTCTATAATAAAATATCACTTTTTTTCAGTTTGTACTTTATCTCTCCCCATCAAAAGAATTCTTGATGACAGAGTTCTGTAACTATTTTTATACATCCACTTCTCTTCTGAAGTTGTGCTCTTACCACTACATCTCTCTGCAAGAATAAAGTAAAATATAACAAAGAAATTAATTACAAAAAATTTAAACTTTACCTGGTGGACTAAAGCTTGCTTTCCACTTCATCATTGCATTCCCACGGGTGTAAAATTCCACCGAGCCTTCACCTTCATTAGAACAGATTTTGAAACCACTGGAAACTACTTGTCCACCAGAGGCAGGGAGAAACTTAGCCTGCTTATCTTGAGTCTTCCAGAAAAAAGAAAATGTTACTCCTGATGAAAGCAAGCGAGAGGAGATTTTAATGAAAAAAACAAGCGCAATTAGAATTTCTAATACTGTAGAATACAGAGAGTAGGAATATCTTTGAGAACAGATCATCTGCTAGCATAAAAAGGACAGCATTTTTTAAAATCAACAATGCTCTAACAGTTTAAATCAAAAAAAACATCTCTTCCTTGGTTTTGCATCATATATGCATACTCAGCACATAGTAGTAATCATTGCTTCCTGAGCGGCTTCTATCAGTTAAAACTAAAGTTCTCTGAGCACCAAAAGCAATGAAGCCTTTTTTCTGACAAATTTATGCTTCCATTCCCTTTGTCTTTTCTCTCCAGTCTCCTTAACACTTCTCACCCTCCTGTGATGATCCTCTTTTCCTCCTCTGATCTTCTCTTATTTCAAAACACAAGTTGCTCTCATATCTCCATATCCTCCACCAGTATCTACACCTTTTTTTGATGTTCACCAAACGCCAGCAGAGCCAGAAATAGCACACTGCTGCTTTCAAGTTACTGATGGAACAGCAGCTTGCAACTGGCTGCCAGCGTGCCCGTACTCATTGAGTAGCATCTATTGCTAATTGCAGTTTAATTCTTCTAAGCGTGTTATTACCTGTGTTTTCACACTTCAGTGCTCCAATAATTGCTGAAAACAGAGAAGCAATGTAAAAGAAAGGGACAGCAACATATGCAGAGCCACAGTCAAAATTCTCAGGTTCCCACCTACGCAAAAAGAATTCTTCCCAGAATGCAAGTGCAATCCTGCAAGTGCATGTGATTAACTTTGTCCACAAATAATCCTGTTCACAGTAAATTTTACTATTCTACTGTAAAATCAAAGGGCTTTTCAGATTGCACGTTAGTGAAGAAATACGATTTCTGTAAGATGGCTTGTTTCTTTAATAAATGTTACCTCAAAAGGCTTGACTGAAACAAGAGGCAAATCAACCCCCCCTTGCACTTCAGAAGTTCTCAGTGGCTCTGCTGTAGAGGTTCTGCAGTCAAATGCAATTACAATGAAAATGGCTCAACTAAAAGCAGCTCCTAAAAACGTTCATCTAAGAATTTATAGTAGGAAGTGCTGACAATAAAATCTGAGTTCAGAGCAGGTTGAGAAAAAGTTTATGAAGTACAGAAGTGGAAGAGGTTTTGCCATCATGAATGACGTTGGTAACGCCTCTGAAGATCACCTAGTCTTAGCTGCCTGCTCAAAGCAGGGCCAATTTCAGAGCTAGATCTGATTGCTCAGAGCTCAGCTGAGATTCCAATGTCACCACAGATGCAGATTGCACAGCCTCTCTGTGCAAACCATCCTGATGCTTGGCCACACACTGCAAAGAAACTTTTTTCCTTAGATCTAATCAGCATCTCTTGAGCTACAACGCACCTGTGTTGCTTGTCACATTTTCGTTCTGCATCTACAAGATTGTTTAGCTCCATCTGCTTCTATAACCACCCATCAGGTAGTTGAAGATAGCCCTTAGCATTCCCTTTTCTTCATGGTGTAAGGAGAAGCCTCAGCCTTCCCTCGAATGCCACATTGTCCCCCTGCTATTGTCCAGCAGATTCATCAACTGACCTGTCAGTATCTCTCTTATATCGGGCGACAAAAATGGGACATAGTACTTCAGATACGCTCTCAAGAGCGCTGAACAGAGGAGAATAATCACTTCCCTTAACTTGCTGACTATGCTCTTTTGATATACAGTCAAAATATCTGGCTGGATGATTTTATAGTTAGCAGATCTGCATCCTGCCCAGGCAGTATGAACTTTGCCAATTTGCAACCAGATAGCCCAGCGCAAGTTAATGAAGCCCTCAAACTATTAGGTAGATTTCTTGTTAAAACTACAGATTTTTTTTTAATATATATGTTTCATAATTTTCTGATTAAACACGGAAAAGCCTCAGACAGCTCACTACAGTCATCAGAAATATTCCCCCTGCTACTCTCTGGAACATAATTATATTTCATATATTCTTTTTGTCACATTAACTTAGCAAAAAAGTTAAAAATCATATTACTTCAAAATAAATAATTTAACTAGGTAGTATCTTCCTGTCTAGCTGATCTTTCTGTTTATCCTCATGACAGCACCCATCAATTTACATCTATACACCATTCCCTAAATGCTTTACACATGACAAAATAACCACCATAGAAATGTTAATCAATTATCATTGGCCTCCTAGAAATCAATCAGTTTATGAACATCATCAGTCTCAGTTTGCTAGATATTGATGGATATGAGCTTAAAGCTAAAAACGCTGTGAACTCCCAACTGAAGAATTTGAGGTCTATTGCAAGCAAGTTGCAACACCTTCATCAGCAGATAAGCCTGAGTTCTTATTTCAGCTTCTTTACTACACCAAAAACAGGTTGAAACACTGATCCAACCCTCTTTCCAGAAAGCCATGCATTCCCCTTGTATGTGCACACCATCCTTCTCCTCCTTGGTGAAAGAGTCACCAAGGCTGACCATGTTAATCCATGACTGCTATTAAGGCAACTCCTTTGTCAAAGTGTCTCTCAATCTTTTTCCAGTGCTTTACCACGTTTCTGAAAGCTATGGAAGTGATGTTATTCCTTCTTTACAGGCTGAGAGATGAAGTTTAAATGATGTAGACAGATCAAGTTATACAGCATGCCTGCAGTGGAGCTAGTTTTCCCCTATCTTTGACTGTCTATCCTATTGAACTATCTTGTAGCTATTGATCATCCCATAGCCACAAGAAAACTGTGGATCTAAATCCTCCTTATGTGCAATTTGGTTCATGAAACACCAAAAATAAAAATTCAAATCAAAAGCACACAATAGCCACACAATGAACACACAGCTTTATGAAATGCCATGTTGTGCATAGGACTGCTTTTTACAATTATTTTCTTTTTTAAATTTCAACTTCACATATGTTGACTAAGTCCAACTTCTCTTACTGTGTTCAAACTAATAATTAAGAGAATATTCTCTTGCACCTTTCACAAATGTTTCTTGTGACTGAAAATGCCACTTTAATGAGTCCAAAACTGCTTACAGAAAAACATTGTTTAAAAATTACGTAAGAAAGAAGGAAAGTAGGGGAAGACTGTTTTGACACTTCAAAACCAAGAAAAATTTGTTTTCTCAAGTCAAAATAGCAGTTCTGAAATGTTATTAAATTTAGCCTAGGAAAAAATACAGGTATTTTTATTTCATACATTGCAATATTTCATCCGAAAAGATCCCAGGATCATTTCAGAAAGCATTCTCTGCTCAAGTACTTAACACCAGTTTCACACAAATGCAATCAATGAACATCAAGGGATGTTTAAGCAATAGTAGGTTTGAATAAAACTACATCTTATCATTGCCACAGATTTTATTCACTTGGAGAAAATCCAAGGCATTCTCTTAGATAAGAGGGTGTTGGCTTTTATCCTTTTTTTTTTTTTAATACTTGCTACAGTGATTTAGTATTTATTGTTTATATGATGTCTTCTCTTCACATTTTATCTGCTGAAGATTTCAGTGTTTTATGTTTTTAATGTTCGTGTTTGTGAGACACTGGGAGTGCTCCGGTACTATAAAAATAATTTATTCTGATTACTATGTTATACTATAGATGTAGAAATAATATGACTTACTGATGATTTTTATTTCCCAGCAGTATGAAAAAAAGTATGAAAAGATACAGCATGTAACAGAAAATATGCCTAGTGTAGGATACTGAATTACTTTTTCTAATACTCTCAGGTAATAGCCGTGTACCATCTGCTCTCTGAGTTTCTCCTACTTTCTTGTAAAGTTCATACACAGCTCTTGCTTTAGCAGTTAAAAAAAAAGTAATCCTATTTCAAGTAATGTTACCCATTTGAACAACGGCCTAAACCAATAAAAGCAAGAAAATTCAGTGTTAACAATACTGCTTAAGAGTAGGGACTGCTGGAGTCTATGTATGAAAAGCCACCATTTTCCATCGATCCTTCCATTTCTGCTGCATTTCAAATCTCTAGTGAATGTTTTATCCTAGTGACTAGTTGTATATTTGGTTTGACAGTCACATACAGTTTTAACCATGTTCTGTAATCAACACATTGTCAAACCTGTGCCCCTTATTGCACCTGTTATTTTGTGACCCTAGCCCAAAAAGAGGAAAGGAAAGCGAAATAGAATGAAAATATTTAAGCACATACAAGGATAAGTGGATTCCGAGACACTAGAGACTTAAAAATTTTATCTCCAAAGATAAATCTAAAAAACTCAAACCAAACCCCAAACTTCCTGCTAAGAGTCCACACTGAAAAACTGTCTCCTAAATTTGAAACATGTAGGACAAGTTCTTTGTCAAGCTGCAGTTCTTGTAGGAATTAATCTTAATGCCACAGGCAAGATTCTGGGCACTGTAAGCTTATTTCTGTTTTTGTTTCAATTAATTATACTGTAGATAATTGATCTGAGTAGTTGGTGATTAGTTCTAATTTAAACTGCAGTTAGAAAAGACTAAATTTTCAGCAATCAACACTCAATTGTTTAAGAAGTCAATAAAGTGTCAAGCTAGAATTTTAGAGAGCTCACTCCAATGAGGAAAGAAACAATGATTATTGAATTACATAATTTGGCAGCAAAAGAAAAGTAAATACTAATTAATGAACTTACTAACCTTCAGGTCCACAAACTTCTGGATTACTAATGCAAGAATTTTGATAGCTTCCAAAGAAGAGAAAGGTAACTCCTTTCTTTTCAGTGACGTAAATTCCTTTGTTCACCATTCCTTCTACAATATCTAAAGGAAAAGCAAAATATATCTTCACATTTATATAAATCAAAACTTCCAGGAAACACAATTTTAACAAGCTCATACACCTCGTATGTTTGTCTTGTCCTAACGATATGTTTGCTTTTGTTCTTTTTTTGTTGTCACTGTTTTTCTTTTTTTTTTTTTTTGAGTTTGGTGAGGATTTGTTGTTTGGTTGGGGTTTTTTGTTGTTGTTTGTTTTTGTTTTGGTGAGGTTTGTTGTTTGTTTTTTTTTTAAGAATCATACAGATTTCAAATTTGTAAAAATTACCCTCATATCCATCACTCAGATTCTTGATTAACTAAGACTGCTTGACAGAACCCATACACCCCAAAATTATTTCAAAGTAATCTGAATAAACTTTATGCTTCCCAGAGTTCTGAATACCAGACACATCATAGAGGTATTTCTGTCTTCCTGCTAGGCTGAGTTAGTGAAGAAATTCTTTACTCAGTCAAAAATGTAACAGAATAGGGGGGTTTATTCATTTTTTGGAAAGAAAATTTTGTAATCAAAAGCCTCATTTCATTTAAAAAAAATAATTCCCTGAAATATACTTGACAAGCTATATTCAAAAGGCAGAAACATGTATCCTTTTCAGACATTCTTTAGTATGGCATCATTGTCGTTTGGAAAGGCAATTTCTTTGTCTAACATGGATAATGACTAGTTGTCTTGTGATTGGATTGTGATTTCCTGTGTTCCCTCCTAAAGAAAAAACACTGTTGATTCATCTCCTACTAGCTAAAGCACATGAGCCTTCTTAACATGAAAAAAAACATGACAGTGGTTTACTACAGGAAACCTCACTAATGCCTGAGAGTCCAGCTGATAGATGATAAGTTCATCTCATTTGTCCCAAGATAAAAAGAGGGACTAATTTTAGCAAAGAGGACAATAGGAATTCACGATCAAAAAAATTCTGCTGCCTTGAAAAGCCTGCATTGCACTACATAATACATCTATTTCTGAGCAGACAGTTTGGAATTTCATGTTAATACCATTCTTTGTGATGGATTCCTGCAAAGTTTGTGAAGATTCAGGACCTTGGTTTTGAGACTCTTCTCAGTAATCCCTTCTGAAAAAGCGTTAGCAGAAGAGTTGCTCAAAAGAAAACACCAGCAACAAGAAAACAGTCTTTTCCTGCTCTGAGGAGCAGATATTGCCAGCTAAGTGCTGCTTGATATTTGAAAACCTAATGAGATCATAAGGGGAAATGAGGAAGGCACACGAATGGTCTAAAACATGTGAAGGGTGGGATATCAGGGACTTCTCTCTGTATTTGTCGCTGTATATCTACCCGACTTAATGGAAGCCTTTCGCACAGCAAAGCACAGCGCAAATCATGCCAAAGATGCACAGTCAGTGCTAGGGACAGATCATCTATCTAGAGTGATAATCGTAAATGTTGTCACTGCTTCAAGATGGTGCATCCCTTTAGGCAATGAGGACACAGGCAAAAGGACATCTCATTTTTAAACTGTAGACAACCATCAGGTGTGAGGGCAGCAGTCACAGTGCTGGCCCGTTTGTAGGACAACACCACTCAAGGAAAGAGCAACAGCACGGCGTAGCCCTCAGCAAATGTACGTCCAAGTATTTTCTTAGTTCATTCCAAATCTCAATGCAAATATCACAGTTTTCAGATATCTTCCCCTCCCTTTGAGGAAGAAGTCATCAAGTTCTGTCTCTAACTGGCAGATAAAATTTAGTTTCTTTTAAAAATTTGAGTGTGTATTATGGAGTGAAGAAAAGATTTTTAAGTTCTTTTTCAGTCACTTGAATTCTAAGTTAATCTAGCCAGAATAAATCTTATAAGGTAACGCAGTTCTGTTTCCATAGCATTTCCTTTGCCATTGATGTCATCCTTTAATGTTCATATTGAATATATCTTATTATGTGAGAACTATGCAAATGGTCTATAAAGCAGATAAGAAAGAACTGAAAGGAATTAGGGTTATTTGAAGTTCATTATTAACAGAGCTCACATTTGCCAGGACACTCTTACTGTTAGAGAACAGAAAAATAGTGGGTTTAGTATTCTAATATAAACCTCCTAGTATCTGAGCAGCCCAAATGACAACTCTACCATTTCCATCCTTCTCCTTAGGTCAGATTTTCCAACAACTAGATGTGAGTTAATACCCAATTGTAAAGCGGACAAGAGGTCATATTTCAATTGCACCTACACAAGTATAAATCCTAGTGACTTAAATTAAATGCCTTTAAGCTTATACTGGTGTAGATGTAACTAGTTTCTAATCTGTCAGGTTTCTGCCTAGAGAGTTGTAATTTTCTGTTCTTTGCTTTAACTCCTGGTGTCTTGATGTTGAAAAATAAAATCATTAAAAGAACATATATATGCAGAGTTTTTCTTGCCTTTAAAAAAAAAAACATATTAATCAAAGATGTCATGATTGACAAGATCGTACTTTCAGCCTTTGCAAATTTGCTTGCATTTGTCTTAATGTGTCCTTTAAAAATTACTATGAACTGGTGAAAAACAGATGGCTTCTTTTTCCTTCCAACCTTGAAAGACAAGAACAAAACAAAAAAACCAATCTATTTGTTCTTATATGCACCTCTGAAACGTCATCTCTGTTTCTTTTAAGCTTACTACAAAAATTATAGGTTTTGGAGAAGCACTGAAGTGCCTCCTTCCTTCCCGGTGGTCTGCTTAGCATGGGGATGCCTCTCCCACTAGTTCAGAGTAATTCAGGTAACTTTGCAGGAGTGCTTTTTCAATAACCTATGCCAATGTAAGTGTAAATAGACCTTTACCACACAACCACTTGAACAAAAACTCAGTGTTAACTTTGAATCCAATGTTACAAGAACCATCCCAGCTTGACAAATGCAGAACAAAAAACATGGAAATCCTCACCTACAGTTGCAGAGAAGTTAGAGTAGGCAGAGTCATTGGTATATACAAAGGTAGAGTTATGGGAAGGAAGCACAGTGAAGTTGTGGATTCTTAGAGCTGGGTGGAACAACAAAAGAAAATAAGCAAAACAATGAATAAACACAATCAGTAATGAATTGACCAGTTCATATCTCTCAACATAGCACAAATCACAGATGTTGGTCAGTGGCCTTTAGAATTATCACGTAACCATTTTTCCCAAGGGCTTGCATGCATATGAATGTTATATCCTCTGCACAAGTTAAGTAGATACAGTCTCACTAAAGCTTTTTTTTTCCTTAGAGTAACTAAGAAAAGACTATAAAAAGTACAACTGCAAATGAAGTGCTCTGAAATATAATCATGCTGGTAAGGAACTCCGTAATTATAACAAAAATCATTATACTGGTGCAAAAGCTATGCACAATTCAAGTCCCATATCCAGTTCTGGGCTCCTCAGTATGAGAGGGACACGGACATACTGGAGCAAATCCAGTAAGAGGCTGAGAACACTGGGATTGCTCAGCCTGGAGAAGAGAAGGCTCAGGAATCTTATCAATGTGTATAAACACCCGACAGGAGGTGTAAAGACAGTGCCAGACTCTCCTTAGTTGTATCCAGTGGAGAGATAAGAGGCAATAGGCACAAATTAAAATACAGGAAATTCCATCTAAACATAAGGAAAAAATCCAGCTTTTTTATATCTAACAATAAGATTTTATTTTTTTTTCTTATTTTGATAATTTAACAGTATCTTGCACACTGTAATTATTCACCCTGGGCAGGCAAATAGAGCTTAATGGAAAGCCCATGAAAACAAATAGAGAAACATTGATTTGGGATTTAGACCAACTGAGCTCACAGAAGGGAAAGGCAAATGGTCTCAAAAAAAAAAAGAAACAAAAAACAAACAAACAAAACCTACACATAAAAAAACCTCAAGAGAAAAATGCACAGAAAACAAGGGATCAGATGAAAAAACTGAACATGGCCACTTTTTGTTTTATTTTCTATATTTTAAGTTGATTGTTTCCCTTCAATTGCTTCCACTGCTGAGATAACAAAAAAAATTAATTTGCTGACACCCTCTCTCACAACACAAACGCATTGAGAGATATAAATCTGGCTTCACACACAATGACTTCAACAAATAAAATGGATTAACATGACAGACAGATTATGATGCTCCAGGGATTTAAGAGGAGAAACATGGAATGAAAATAATTGCGTGATATGATGAGTGGAAAAAACAAGAAAGACTCTAGCAATAAACAGAAGAGTTGTGTAATCAGAATGGTATCAAAAACAAGCAAATTGTCACCTGCCTTAGATTACAACAATAAAGAAAGCTTTTCTTGTATATCAAAGTCAAATATCAGACAGACACATAAAACCTCTGCTGGAGGCAGTTGAAATATCTGTGTATTATAAGACACAATATAAGCAAGTGAGAAGAATTTGAACTATCCACTTCAACATCGTCAGAACTGCACTGCAGAGAAAAAGACTTTCAGCTACTGACTTCCTCTGGAAATAATAGTGAGACAAAGCCCTCCAAAATTTTTTCAAAGTCATGCAGCTGGCTTATTTATAAAGTTATTTAACACAATGTCATAATAGGAGTCAAACGAGATGGCTCAAGTGAGCCAGTCCTGTTCCTGTATGTGAAAGTTTGTAGGATCAGGAACGTTATACATTCTGCTTTACGTCTTCCAAGATACTACTGAAGAGATTTCTGAATTTTGCTGAAATAATGTAATTTAACCTAATTTGAAAAAACAATCTAACATCAGTTGTCATTTTCTAATCAGCTATGTTTTATATATCACTTTCAAGCACTCTCAAAACAACTTCATTGTAACATGAGTGTCAAAACAGTGCTAGATATGGAGTGCTTTATTCTTCTTGAAACCACCTCAAGTCCAGTGTCAGAAAATTACTTTAACACACTATTAGAGAACTCATATGGTAAATTTTTGTAAGTCAAATTATGATCTTATTGAAGTCAATAGGAATGCTGTCATCAGCCTCTAATGGGAGCAGAATATTGCCCAGATTTATTTCTGGTCAGCTGATTTCATTCCTTTAAGAAACTTTGTTGAAAGATGGGTCATAGTTTAAGCTTAAAATACTTAAAACACCTCTGGGATAACAGGTTTTAGATACTTATGGATGTTTTTCCCCACTTAGAAACAGAGATTGATATTGTCATTTTTGTGCAATAAATAGTAAAAACTTTGCCCTTTTTGTAACATTTTTGGTGTAATGTTGTAAAGGTCTCTAACTCTTGATTTAATCTTCTGCAGTGACCTTTCTAGATACAGATATTACAGTCACCAGTAGTAACACAGCAGCTACCCCTCACACTAGTACAAAACGGTTTAGCTCAACTGCCAAGGTGGTCAGCCATAGCGTGAGAAATACTGGGGAATACACATCAGCCCAACTTGGAATTGGTTAGAATGTCAGAAGAGAAAAAACAGCTCATGTGAAAATTACTAAGGGACCTCTGAGTCTCAGAAGGCGGCAGAGCATAGCTGAAAATTTCATCTGAAAGGAACGGCCCTGCAAGCCCATAATACTGCGACGGGATAATAGTGGCTCAGCTGAAGCTCCATTAATTACATCAGCTGCACATCCCCAGGAAGTCCCCATCACACTTCTCGGTCCTGATGTGAAACATCAGAAACAGAAAACTGCTGAATTCAATCAGATTGCCTTTTAATATCGTTCCCTCTAGAATCCTGCATTCCTGACAACCGACCCTTTCAAATCAGTGAGAGTTTTGCTTTACCAAACCTCTCTTGATTTTGCTGGATTGGAAAAAGAATTTGAACTAATGCTGCAATACTGCTTTTAAGCAAGTACCCAAAAGCAGACAAAAATGAGTAAGTAGTATTCCGATAAGATCTTACACTTCTCTTCCAATAGATACTACATGCAGTTTTCAAAAGTGCATGAAGAATCTGGACATTTAACTCCTTCCATAAAGCGAAAAGAAGCAGGAATCTTCACTGCTGGCATAGCCAAAGACCTCAGTCACTGAGTACATTAGTGCATGTTATGCAGGTACCAAACCAACTAATAACAATGTGATTTCAATGACTCTTTGGATCATAAACCTTTTCTCTTTATAACCTTAACAACGCGTAGACAGCCCATAAAACGTCTGAGAATACTCTATAAAAATCAGTTCACAAATACAATATCACTTGGACATCAGAGCACTGCAAAAACATTAAAAAAAAAATTTCAACTGCTGTGGTACAAAAGCTAACTCCTTTCACTTTTCCTTCTCCCTTTCTACTTACAGACTGCCACAAATACTTAAGTTATTGCCACTGTCAACGAATCCTTTGTCTACCTCCATTTGTATCCCGAAACTCATGAATTCCATCCACGTCTTCCAATGGCCAGTAATGGGAAGCTGATGCGAGAACTTTGAACCCTTTCAAGAAACACAGATGAAAAGGTTATTAAAGTAAGGACCAACAAGGAGTGTAACAAGTCTCCACAGAAGAGAACAAAGGTGGTCAATAAGTTAAGTAAAACAAGATATTTTATGTAAATCAAATACGGCACATGAGCAAGATCATAAATCAAAATGGCAGAGCAGATTAAAGCCATATATCTGATTGACCACTACAGAAAACTTGTTTTTAAAACTCAACTGATTTTTATTTTAACTGCACTTAAAACGTGTAACAAACTGATAAATCTCTGCTAGTGTATCAGGCAGCATTCATTGAATTAACAGTTGAGGAGTCATTCAAGGGTAATTATAAAAATTTAACCACAGTGGGTAGTACAAAGCACCTAGAAAGGAACGCATAGGGGATGTTTAGCCTTTATAGCATCCTACTTCTGCTCCTGCCTCCTCCAAAGGTAACAGCTCTCTGAAGTTCAAGGGAGTAGAAGATGTTAGAGCATTCCCAGGAATCTTATCCTCTCTCCAAAACCCACTGGAAAACCAGTGCAACACCTTCAGATTATATTAATCCAAGAGTTTTTTCATCTTTGTTCTTCTATGGAGAGATAATAGTCAGACATAGTAAGCAGCAGTACTCAATGGTGGAGGAGCTGCAACGTGGATGAGAGTATAGGCGGCTGCCCAGTTGTTACTGCAGAGTCTATCCTTCCCCATGTCTCCAGATAACTCTCACCCCTTAACAGTCATAGAGCAGAACCTCCTTTCACAAAAGGAATTTGATGTTCCTCAAGAGAAGGGGTTCCAGCATATTAAGCAGCACATGGAAAAGAGTTCATTAATCCCCATACAACATTAGCTATTCCTTCAGAACCTTCTCCACTACACCAAAACCAGAACAGCTTCTCGTGGCTGATGAGAACATTTTGCTCTGTCTTCCTTGGCAACAGGTGGACAAGCTGGAATAAAGCAAAATATCTGCTGGTTTCTATTGGCAGATTTATCTGCACAGCCTAGTAGATGAGTTTGAACAGATTTTAGGAGATGTGACTGCTCAAATCTGACTGCAAGTGGGCTGCCCAAAACAATCAAAGTTTGTGTTAACAATTCTATTTTAAGAGTAGAGCATTAATAATGTAGGAAAACATGAATAGTAATTTCTTATTATCTTGTTAGCTGCAAGAAACCCTTCATTCTCAAAATAATTAATTTAACCAGCTGTGCTGAAATAGATTTATAATCTCTAATATCTAAAAGTTTTAGAAGATTGATACACATATACAGAAATTTTACTCTGAGTGCAAATGAGAAGGTGTTTAGTTCAACATCACGAGATATCATCCTACTAGTTTGAGCTAATCTTTTCTTTGGTGGGGGGGAGCGGGGAACAACACAATGGACAACAGGGACAGAGAAGGCAAATACTAATATTACACCATCTCTGTAGCTCTTGGCCCTACAATCATTTTTCATTCCCTAGCAATCTTTCAAGAACTTGAGGTGCGAAGTTGGTAGAGATAAGTTTGTTAAAAACCACTTCAGCTGTCATACTCCATACAAAAGCTTCCCACACCTAGTGTGCAATCTAAAACAAATCACAAGCAGTGTCCTTTGACATTTACAGTCTATCCTACACCTTTCTTCTTCACTCTTGAGATCAAAGCAGCTTGCTTATTTGATAATTATTCTATTCTTTTAACGTCCTGGATACAAACAGTATTTCTTTATCATGGATATGAAGGTGTAAAACTTTTGTTTGCATCCTTAAACTGTCTAGCCCACAGTGGAGATCAGTTTGACGTCCTCCATCCCCACGGTATAGCTTCAGAGCTTTGACAGACAGAGGATCCTAAGATTTATTTTTTTTAAGAGCACAAAGCTGATAAAAATTGCTAAACATCACAAGCAATTCGAGATCTGAGAGCACAAAACTAGAAGAAGCTCTGTATCTTGTAAGGATACATGAACTACTCAGACTTGCTTCCAGACTCAACTATACCAAAGATATCTAACAAATGATTCCTAATTCACCAAGATCTATTATTCATCTACTTAACTAAAAGTGTTTGCAGTTGTCATAGAGGGTTTCCCATAGAAAGAGAGCATAAGTAAATAGATACGATGAGGATCTCTTTAGAGAAATGGATGAGATTCTATGGCTATACATTTCCTTTGAGTATTTGGAAGATACAGAGAAAGGCAAAACTGCTAACAAAAGAGAAAGCTACCGCCAACATAACAGAATAATGACACAGAATAAGCAAGTGCAAAACTCAATCTGAAAATTCCAGACAACTCAAACTCAACTAAGCTGAGCATGGCAAAGCAGACTGAGGAAACGGGACATAGGAACAAGGTTTTTTGCATTTACATAAAGCATGAGTATGCGCTTAGTTCTATGCATGTTCTATCTTCAAAGAACATATTTTCACTGCTGCAAAAGAAGTTGAAGTTATAAATTTCTATCATATTAAGAGTATCCACATAGGCTACCTGCGCTAATCTACTTCCCATCTGACTTTCATCAAACTACCAGTTCCATTTTGCAGAGCACAGAATATGCCTGCTGTTTCAGTGTGCTTATATGCAAATATCTCTTGCTCCCATTAACATCTTCATTTGGTAATAGGGAAAAAAAAAAGGATTAAAGTTAAGAGAGACAGTAGGAGAAAAAAAAAACAACACAAAAAAATAGAAAAGAAAAATCCCAGGAGAAAACTATTTGATGCCAAAAAAAAATGTGTCACAACATGGCACAAGTATTTTAGTAATTGCAGTAGTAGCAGCAGCATCACAACAAGGGCATTGCCATAGTTGGCATCAACTCTTAACTATAAGCTCCTTAGAATATAGCCGCTTCTTATAAGCTAGGAAAGATGGGGCAATAAAAATGGGAATCAAAATAGACATACAGCAAAGTGAACTGCCTAGAGCCACGCTGCCATGTCAGTGCCTTTCCCAGCTCCCAGTTCTAAACGATACAAAGCCATGCTGTTATCCCACTTCCAGACAATCAGCCCTGAGAAGATCTCTGAAAACAAATACTTGTTGCCTTGAAGTCAACTTATAATTGTAATATCCTTTCAATAGGTAACTACACTGTGTTTAGAACAAAATCACAGGACTTGTCTACAGCCTAGTTCAAATCCAGAAAGCATTGCTCGCAGTTGTGCTTACATGCACACTGTACTACAAAATAAGTGTTGTGTAACTTGCCCTCTTACGGCAGGAGGGGTTTTTTTCCCCACTATCGTTCCATCAGCTAGAAACCAGTGATCCTCATCTATAGAAAAGGAAACTGTATTTCTTTGGTTTTGAGTGAGGGCAGAATAAAAGAAACTAATCAGGCTGAAGCTACTGCAATAGCAGACAACATGGCTTTTCCACACTGCTCTGTATCTTACTTTAAAATAATTACATATGGTTAAAACTTAAAAGCACAAAGCAGTACATGAATTCGCAAAGCAGTAAAATTGTACTTGTACACCACCATGAGGCTTGAGGTTAAACTATTTATATAAACAGAAGAATTCTGCAGTTACACACACAGACCTCAAATAAGCTTTGAGTAAGTTTTTTCTATATTGAAAACAGATGAGAGATACTTAATACACTCTATAACTGATTCAAACTTAAGCACGAAGGCTGGGAGAAGGGTTGATGACAGTAAGCCATGCCAAAGCACTACCAAGTACACAAGCTGGTCTATCTAACTGTAAATCATTGAATTAACAATGCTGAACACTACGATGCAAAGGGAAAAAGAAGAAAATAGTCTACGTAGAGAGCTGATTCAGAAACTCATGATCAAAAAACTATGAAAATAAACCGTGTATATAGGATTTTTCTACGTACCAAATATAAGCCATTTTTCTCCAAATATATTTCCATGCAGATTATTTAGTAGGTAAGTTACTGAATTTAAAATGACTGAGATGGTCTGATACTTTATTAAATTTTTAATACAGAGCTGACATTCAAATGCAGGAGTAGAGTTTCTTTGGAGCTACTAGGAAAATGAAAAATACAAACTGAGAAAGCAAATAAGTATTTAAGCACATTGTCATAAAAAGTAAACAGAGCATTCCTTACCTGGGTGTTTGGGTAGCTGGGAATAGTTTCCATACACCTGCACATAAAACATTACACAATGAGATGTAGTGAGGCAAAACACGCTAAGAGGAATTCAAATATATCTGAATACTGACCATATTCAGAACATTACCTGGTATTTACACTGAAATAAAATCAGCAAAGAATAACGACAACAGAGCAGAGACAATAAATTCTCCATGGTCTATTTAAGGTTAAAAGTACAACTGAAATCAAATCCCAGTAAGACTTCAATCAGAAGTTTTCCTTTGCTACTTTTTGTATTAAAAAGGACATTTTCCATGCAGGTTCAAAAAGTCCGTTCCTTCAGTGATGGTAAAATATCCTTCCAGACTCTTTAAGTAGTATTTGCTTGCTTCACACTTTGATCTCTTCATTTAACTATAAATAAATTACCGTGATTGGAGGAAAATTAAAAGAAACGTGCATCAGATCCGAAAGCTGTAGCATTCCATGGAAAGAAGTCAATTATTTCTGTTACAATCTGTGCCAAAAAGAAAAGATCTTGTTTTCAACTTTCTTCCTAGGGTTGTCTTTTCCTTTCATTTACTTTCACGTTGTCAGAGATCTGAAGCCAGTTTTAGTTTTGCTAGCAAGAAAAATGTACTTCCTTATAGCACACAGGGCATAGAACTCCCACTATTTCCTCAGAAACTGAGCTGAAAAGAGTTGCTAACTCCTTGCTTGTCCAGCTCACGTTTGCACCTCCATCCAGATCTTTTTGGGTGGAGAGCGAGTCTGAGTGATGTCATGCTTTCTTCTCAAACTTTGTCCCATTCTGGTACTCTATTTATATCACGTTGCTGCTGTCTCTTTTCTGGGTCCTAACACCAGCCAGCCAGGAACAAGTGGAAACGAGTCCATGTGCTTCAGCAAACAGAGACAAGAGATCACGGCTCTGAGCAATCTGCACGCTTAGAGCGGAACCAAAGCCAAAACAAGCCTTCGTAATTCAAATCCTTAAGAAAAATCAAACCAGGTTTTGCACAGAAACTTTTGAAGGAAGTCTAAGATCTATTTATAAACCCTACAGATGGTATTCCTGTCTAAAGAAGCACGATCTTTAAAAAAATCTGATTTAAATCATATGGCACTAGGATTATTTTTACTACGTCTCTATCAAGAAGGGGAAACTGAGGCACTACTCATTTCACTGACTTGCTCAAAGCTGCACAACAAAACTGATAGAAGTATTTTCCTAATTCTTCTATAGTTACCACCTTATTTAAGAAAAAAAATTATATTTAAGTATTTTTATAAGAGCCTCCCAATTAAATTCTGAACTATGTCACAAATATTAAGCGTCATTTTATATGTAAAAGAAAAATAGCAGCTAGAACTAGATATTCATTTAATCTGCTCTTCTATGGTAAAACCTTGTTTCCAGTTCCCTCCAAATTATTTTTTATTTTCAATGAAATAAACTGAAAGAGCAATATTTCAAACAAAATTCAATAAGCTTTCCATCCCTGTTCATCTATCCACTACATTTCCACACCAACTCCTCTTTTATTCTCACACAAGCCATTTAAAGGTGATGTAGGCAAGATCAGAAACTAAAAACCAGAATCAGACCTCAGAAAAATAAAATTATTTTATTTACCTTTTCTTTTGCCAAATAGAGGCACAAGATACAGATCTATAGAAAGGTGATGACGTGTTCCTGCTTCCGTGCATGTCACTGCCCCTCTATGACTTATCTTCTGACCTTTAGTTATCCTTCCCTCCCCAACCATCCGTTTCAAGACTCTTGGGCCCATCTCCTCAGGTACCTATATCAGCCTATATTTGCCAGGTTCCTTTTCTTGGCTCCATTCCTTCTAGTATATTAACCCTCTTACTTTTCTACTTCTTAATCACAATTTCCGCACCAAACTCTTGGCTAAAGTTGATTATAACTTTCAGGATGAAACAGTTTTCTACTGACACTTTATATAGAGATCATATAGCTAGAAGCCAGGTGTGTTTGGTAGTAGCCGTGGCCTCGATTTACCCAGCTGGCTCCCTGGATGTATATAGAATTTCCACAGCTCCTGGTGGTAACTAGCTCCTTGCAGATGACTGGCAAGTAGACAGGACTCCAGGGTCCAAGGACTGAAGAGATCAAAATTAATTTTGGAAACCTTGAGACACTCATGCTCCATGAACTCTTCAATGTTACCAAAGTTTAATAATATGAAATTTCAGTATTGAAAGAAAATGTGTATTTTGTTTGTAACGCCAATTTAGTACCTACAACAAAATAATTTCAAAAATTTTGAATTTCAATTCCTATAAAAAAAATTCAGCTTCCCACTTAGTTATAACCAGTCTGACTTTTGCTTGTTTTCCTCTAGGTTTTTCTTAGACTCCTTCCCTTATTACTGTTAACCACAGACTCCTGTATATCCTAAAGGAAAAAGAGGAATGCTGTGTGAACCTTAGGAATTCTGCATCATGTACTGACAAGTAGAGCCACCCTTAGAAATAATAGAGCTGCAGCTAAAAAATCCTGAGAAAAGCTAAAATGTAAAAAGAGAAGGACAGGAATTTGAAATATTTGCCAAGAGGGGCCTGTCAAGGGAAAGAATATGCTTACCAAAATAATTGTGAGAATCCAAGCAAACATATTCACCGCCAAAAATTTTTGTGGAAACAGCAAATTGCAAACAGACATCAGAGATTATTTGCAGAAACAAATTCTGAATTTATTCCTGTGATCCTCTGGAAACCTGATCTGAAAAGTCACACTGCTCCCACCGCAGACCAGAGGCAGCACCGGGCATCTTGCGTGCAAACCGGAGTCACTGATCCAGCGCTGGGAAGACAAACAGAGTGCATTGCTCTTGAAGAACCTGCCGATTAAATAACGTTCATTTAAAGCACTTGCACGTCAATAAAAGCACAAAGGTCTGCACACGCTGGGTAACTGGGCAGCCAGTGCTGAGACCACTGGAGAGGCTTCTCCCCAGCGCAGCTCTCCCACCCTGGGGCCCTGCTCAGGGAGTGAGGAAGGGGAAAGCTGTGACCCCCGTGTCACAGCACTGCTGGGGGCCGTGAATGAGCTCTACATTTTCTGTCCCGCTTCAGCAGGGAGCAGGAAAAAGGCCCGGGAGGAGCTGCTCTGCAGCTTGGGCATTTGTGGACAGGTAGAATTTGCTCCCCAAACAGAACAGAAAGCCTGATGGTCTGCAGCAACAGAGGCTTGCCAACAGCACTGGGAAATTATATCCCCCCGGGTCCCCCCCCCCCGCCTTTTTTTTTTTTTTGAGTGGGTAGGAGGGTAGATTTTCAAAGACAAAGGTTTAACAAAAAAGAAAGATCAATCATCAAGATATAATTGGGTGATGCCAGTTGAAACACTTTCACAGTAATGTGAGTGTGACCTATCATGCAATAATTAAACTTAACTTTCAGTTTCAGCTTTCCTTGTTCATCTTGTGTTCATTCAGGATAATTATATTATTGAGACAGGAAAATTAGCAAATGCTGTAGCTGACACCAGAAAATGAAAAATAACCTGAAGTTAAAAATCTTTGTTGCTAACTATATAAATATAAGCAGATAAAATAACCCTTAAAAAAATGTTTTACACTGCAGAAGACAAACAATCTGTAATACAGTTTTCTTCCATTGTTTTCATTAGAATTATTAACTTCCCACAAGAGCACTTCTGCATAACTGGAATTGAAGTGTTTTAACAAACATCTTAGAAAGAAGTATTTTAAGAATAAACCTAACAGATTTTGTTCACAGATAAAGAAGTCACCTCTAACAGAGTTTATTACCTTTTTTTTATATAGTCTTATGCCAATGCAGAATTGTAAGCCCGTACCAAATAAGAGTTTAGGGGTTTTTTTATTTAACCATGACTTTTGTGACAAAAAAGTAATTCCTAAATGTATGAAGTTGGCCTTGCACAGGACTGTAGCAATGAGTGGGTCTTTCACTAGCTCTTAGACCAAGTTTGATGTACTCACTACCAAAGCAGCACGTTGTTTCTGTATTTAGAAACTCTTGTAGTATTCACGCTCAACAGGAAGATCAAAGACTTGGTGAACAAAGTCCTCTCCCTCTAGCTACTGTACAAGGATCAAATACAACGAGGAACAGAGTGAAGAAGCTCTCCCTGCTGGTAACTGCACTCCCAACATTTGATGGAGAAGCAACCTGTGCCATTCACCTGGTCCTTCTTTAACTTGTGCAACCCTGTCCCACAACCTCTATCCAGACCCTGCAGTCACCTTCCTAAACCAGGAATTGTACCCTCAGCTACTCCATCAGCCTTTTCCTCCCCATTCTAAGGTTTAACTGGCTGCACCCAAAACCACTTTACCCAGGTTCAAACCCAGAGCAAGAGTTAAATTGAAAGTACACTTCATAGACAAGAAAGGGAGTTCAAAACTCTTATTTCTTTCTACAAGCTACATCCCATGTATTCAATGGCTGTGGGTATCAGTATCTGCATTGCAGACTCAAAACTGTCTCTTCCATTGCGTGGTTTGTTTCAGCCTTTCGAAGGAGCCATGGGTCCATCTACACCAGCTCTATCTAATTCACTGAGACTACAACTTCTCTGATTTTTAAAAGAAGCTATTGCCATTTCATGACAGGTCCATTTTGCATCACTTAAAAGCAAGGTAGTTTGAAGGGTTCGTTTGGGTTTTTTTGCTTTGTTTTTTCCTCTCATTTTTTAACCTCTCATTTCTTCGAGCAAGCAAACTGAAAAGGACGATTAGAGCGAATTGGCTGAAAATATTTCTCTCAAAGTATTTTGTATGTAGGTAACGCCTTTTTGCACTTCGTTAACTAGCTCTTATTTTTATAGTGTAGGTAATTTATCTCTATATTGTAAATGAAAGTTTAAAATAAAGGCAAAACTTATGTGAAGAGAACTGTTCATCCAGGTGAACTGGTTATCTAGAATATAATTCTGAATATTGATTAATATTTTGATTAGTGGTTCCAGTACATTTGTTGTACTTTCACAAGTTTTTCTTATTTAAAAGAACTACTGCTATTGGAGCAGTTTCTTTCCATTTCAGCAAATGAGTTCTCTTCTTCCTCAAAAAGGACAATTTTATCCAGGTAGAATTTTACACCACCTAAAAAAATAGCCATTGTTCTAGGCTGCCCAAAACAAATTCTTAGCATCTTCAAACAGGGGGAAAAAAAAAATAATAAAAAAAATAATTAGCCAGC